CTCTCTCTCTCTCTCTCTCTCTCTCTCTCTCTCTCTCTCTCTCTCTCTCTCTCTCTCTCTCTCTCTCTCTCTCTCTCATCTGGAGGCTATGATGAGATGTCTAACTTACCGACACGTGTCGAGAACTCGTGCTCCTTTTCCGTCGATGATGATGATCTATCATAACAATCGATTCCCTCCTCCGGACGTATCCCCTCTCCCATACGTCGATGATACAACCCGGCGGTCGGGACGTTCACAAGCGCTCCCTGTCTACTGCTTGGCCTTGAAAGCTACCCCGCGCCAAGATGATCCGACGCGCGTGATACGCGTAGTGCTGGATTGGAGCGACGTGCGCGCACGCACACACACAGTCGCAGGTACAGGTACAGGTACTGCTGCCGTGCCGCGGTCTTCTCGACCGAGCAGATACACAATCCCAATCGCGCGCGGGGTGAATGTGTTGCAGTTCACCGACGAGTACAGAGTTCAAACCCTGTTCCAAAACTCCGGCGCCATAAGCGCGCCGTGCTACGCCGGGCGCGCTTCGCGCCGTGCCAATCGCGAGGCGGCCGCTGCTGGCACGGGCTATGGGACTGCGCTACGCTGTCGCGCACAGTGGTCTGGCGCTGCACGGGCTGGTCGCACACGGTGGTCTGCCGCTGCGGGAGGCTGTCCGACAGAATGGTCTGCGATTACGACAGTGCCTCCTGTCGCACAGCTGTCGCGCATAACATCAAAATACCGCGGAAGTGTCCAGGCAGAGGAGGCCTCTCAGCTGCGAAAACGGGACCAAGAGCCAAAAAAGGGACCCCGCCACTGTTCCTATCCCTTTTCCCATTTCATTTCGAGGACAACGCCAGCTGGGAAGCAGAACTGAAGGGCCGCACTGGCTCTCCTTCGCTGACCTCTCCACTCGTTCACGTCACTTCTTTTTTTTCTGGTGTGTTCATCGATTCACTTCCACTGTTTTTTGGTTTGTCTCCCTGTTTTATGAGAGCCTTTTCTGTGGTGTGGCGCGTGAGTGTGACTGTGCGCTCCCGCGTGTTTTGTCAATGAACTTACCGACTGCTTCGTCGGATCTCCTCCAACTCATCGAGGGGCTGTCCGTATGTATATGCCTTCTCGTGTATGTCCTCCAGTAGATCTGTCAACAAGAGAGAGAGAGAGAGAGAGAGAGAGAGAGAGAGAGAGAGAGAGAGAGAGAGAAGGCATAGTACTACAGCGACTTTTTAGACCGAATCTCGCTGTAGTTGCCGTCGGACGAACTCAGAAGCAGGAAAATCTTAGTGGAAGTATCCCCTGAGAGAGAGAGAGAGAGAGAGAGCAGAGACGGACAGAGAGAGAGACTGTGCAGAGAGGGGGGGGGGAGAGAGAGGGCAGAGAAAGACACACAGAGAGAGAGAGAGAGAGAGAGAGAGAGAGAGAGAGAGAGAGAGAGAGAGAGAGAGAGAGAGAGAGAGAGAGATTAAGTTTGTACACCGTTGTGGAGCACTCCAACACTTCAAATAAGGGACAACCATGATCACCCAATTTAGCAAGTGAGGGCATACTTACACCAGGACTTCCCCGAATGAACTACAGTCGCCATTGTGGCGAGATCCATCACAGAGTCCGTGGTGACGAGTATGCCCTTGGGACCTTGACTCCGAGCACAAAAGGCCATTGTGGCGAGATCCATCACAGAGTCCGTGGTGCTGAGGGGAATGCCTTGGCAGTGAACACGTTTCTAAAAGAGACATCGTAGTACTAGTTATAACACACGGGGGGCTCTCTCCACGACAGAACACAGAGATAGCAAAGGCACTCAGTCTGTGTGTGTGTGTGTGTGTGTGTGTGTGTGTGTGTGTGTGTGTGTGTGAGAGAGAGAGAGAGAGAGAAGCGGGTAGGCGGAGGAATTCTGTCTCGACGAAAAGTATGTGCATATGTACAGCCTGGGTGTTGGGAGCCGCTTTGCCCAACATTTATCGGGCAAGCACAATGAACGAAAAAGCTGTAACTTCTCAATTTTATCAAGTTCCTGATGTGTATGTCGATCGAATGCCGGCCTGCAGTCCGGCTTCAACCATGCTCGCGGTAGCATCCGCGTCTCTGCGTCGATGCATGCGTGCGCGCGTGTGTGTGTGTGTGTGTGTGTTGTCAAACTTCTCATGTTCGCTATATACAACTCCAGAAAAGAAGCGCGACTGTGCCAGACTGTTTCGTCGGACTGTCACCGACTCATCATGTGTGCGGGCCTGCGAGGGTGGGTGTGTGTGTGTGTCTGTTGTCATGTTGTTGTTTTTTTAATTGTAACATATCATTTCAAATCAGGAAAGGACAGAGGCCGAGAATATCTCACATTCAACCCGGAAAGCATGACTCTGTGCGTGTGCGTGTGCGTGTGCGTCTGCGCGCAGGTGCGATGCTCGCTCTTGACAACTCCACTTGAAGAAAGCATGCCTCTGTGCGTGTGTATGTGCGCGCCTGCTCGCTCTAGACAACTCCACAAAAAAAAAGCATTGACTGTGTGCGGGTGTATGTGCGCGCAGGTGTTTCCCCGGGGTAGATAACAATTCCCCTCGCCCACCCCCAGCCCGTGAAGGTACAGGGGAGACAGAAAATGAAACGTAACAGAACGGGGCTAGGCGGCTCGTTAGACACTCCTCGGGACGCGATTCCAATCCAAGGATCCACGTTTCACGGAGAGGAGAGGGCACACGCGTAGAGAGACGTTACAGCGGTTGAATCCGGATCGTGGCGGCACCCTATTGGCTGAAACTCTCAGGCGCAACTGTTTTTCTTTTTCTTTTTTTTCTTTTTTCCGATAAAAGCTCCAAGGACCACCCTCAAGGCAACCCGATGGCAACCCGATGTCAGATTAGACACAATATATATATATATCGTCACAATATATATATATGGGTTCAGCCTCCTGATGAGTCGGTGAAACTCCGACGAAACAGTTTGTCACAGCCCCTCGTTTGTTGTCCTCTTCTCCCTCTCTGCCTACGGTTTACCGGGCAGTTCTATTTGACGATATATATATATATATTTTCAGCCTCCTGATGAGTCGGTGAAACTCCGACGAAACAGTTTGTCACAGCCCCTCGTTTGTTGTCCTCTTCTCCCTCTCTGCCTACGGTTTACCGGGCAGTTCTATTTGACGATATATAGTATTAGACACAATATTGAATTTACCTGGTTAGTCCGATGATAATACCTCAAGGCAATCGCCCTTTTATAAAAACAAATTAAAATTAAAAAAAAAATAGTTTTTTCTTTTTCTTTTTTTTCTTTTTTCCGGGAAATGATCCAAGGGCGGATCTGTCCAAGGATGAGTCCAACGATGACGCCGATAACGCTAAATTTCTCCAAGGATTTCGTCCTTGGGCCCCAGGAAGCTCCGAGGAGTGTCTAACGAGCCCCTAGGTCCCACCTGCGGGCGTTGTAGTTGTACTGAGTGACCCGCATGAATGTGAGTGACCGATCAGGGGCGCATATGGGGCCACCATCTGATGGCCACGGTTTGTTCTTGTGGAAAGTAGCTCGGTTCGTGGTTTCGCGGCCTGTAGTGTTTACTGTTGCCGTCGACAGCGTTGTACAAAAATTGCATCGTCTTTGCCGTCATTCATTTTTTCAACGATTGTACTCTGCGAGCGAGACGTTGGACAAATAATTTGTCCAGTCTCATCATTGACGCATCTTGACATGATGTGTAGTTGTACTTCTGTGCATGATTCGTGCCTGTAAAGGCGGTGTGCAGTTTGGCTGTACTCTGTCAGCGCAGCGGCTGTATGTGGTCTGATTGGGCGCCTACATTCCGTTGTAGATGTATTGTGTGCCCTCCTTTCTTTTTTTTTTTTTTGGGGGGGGGCGGGGTGTGTCCTTCTCTCTCAAATTCGTTTTTCGCCTTTCACTACCTTCCTACCACTATCCTAAGACTATATGGAAGGGACCCCTGCAAGCATAGGGCCTCGCAAACGAGGTAATTCATGTTGCCCCCGGTCCCAACAGCGGTAGTCAGAGATGGGGTGGGGCCGAGGGTGTGAGTGTGAGCGTGAGTGGGTTGTGTGTGGTGTGTGGGAGAGGGTTGGCCATAGCCTGTGCTGCTACTCGATGAGGGGTGGGGGACGATGAGAAAGGGAGGCGCAGCTACTGGCAAAATGCTCGGTCTTTGCGTTAGCCGCACCGGGGTGTCCTCCTTTCGTGGACATGTGTGATTTTATTTTTATTTTTTTTATTTTATTTTTATTTTTTTGGGAAAGTTGTTCAATATAGTACCAAAAATCACAGGGACGAGGCCCGGGCCCTCACAATTCAACCCAGAGTTATCCTGGCAGCATCAGCCAGTTCAGCTCATGAGCAGAGCTCGACATTCAACTACAGACCCAAAAGTTTCTCTGCCTGCTGGAAACCGTGGGTCCAGCGTCCAAAATTGTACGTTAGAGCTAAGAAAAAGCACAGCTGTCCACAGATGATCTTCCAAAGGAGGGCTTTAGCCCTTCCTCGATATCTACTGACTGTGTGATCTGCCACTACTGTTAAATGATTGCTACGTCTTAGCCTCTGAAGGAACTAACTCCTCAGTTAGTACAAAGGACCGCTTACATATTAATAAGGCCATTTTCTTACCTAATTCGGCAGTAGCCAAGTAGCCAACTGAAGATTACCCTCAGGGGAGACTGTTGCCAGCTGGTTCCCCAGAGCTCATGTCTTGGCGAACCACTGTCGAGACCTACCCCTTGAACAATTCCTCCAGTCTGCCAGAATGATCGACCTCAGATTACAACGAACCTGCTGTTGCCGCTGCGCAATGGAGATATCTTCTTCCTTGAAAACTTTTATATTCTTCACTCTCCAGATTTCCTGCAGGATAATGCCTCTGCACTCTAGGGTCACGTATCCTAACCCAGCTGTAAAATTAAACTTTTTCTCAGGGAGGATTCCGAAAAGAACCCAGTCATCTTCCAGCTGAATGTGTCTCCCAGACTCCCACTAATCTGTTCCAATGGGAAGTCTACCACATCCCCAGTTCATCCGCCAGAGGACAGAGCACCCACAAATGAGCATTCGACTCCCAGCCCCACTTATAATGGGAACAGGTAGTTGAAATGTCCATTCCTCTGGATGATAACCACAAGGCCGTGGGGACTACCAACAATATCTGCATCCACATAAGACTGCAGTTCTGTTGCGTTCAGTGCCCTCCACTGAGCTGGCCAATCTGGCAATGTTGCTTCTTGACCCTTCTGTCTTATGTATCTTCGTGTAGCCATTATCTGTGGAACCTGAGCTGCAGCCATGTGCAGGTATCT